AGGTGGCCTTCGCTTTGGCCTTGCTTTTCGGTTGGCCAGACTTCGCCGTCTTGCCCATGCTGCCCAAAATTAAAAGTTCGAATCTGCTACTTCACGACAGCAGCACAGCAAAGTCTCTACCAATGTGCCCCTCGGAACTCGTACATCTCCACAACTACACGACCCTATGCTACATTGAAATTTCGAACACTGATCCGCAACATTCTCGGAACCGCATTGACCAAACAAAAACTCTTGAGACTGCCGAGGCCAGGCGTATGCACGGGGTACTCTTCGAAAATATGGATCAATCAACGCGTGCTCTGTTCGAAAGGTCGGTGAACACTGCCAGTAAAATCCCAGCGCCCAGGAAACCGATCAGCATGCCAACATGAAGATTGAGGAACGATTTCACTATGATTGCGGAGTGAACTTCTGGTTCTCACTACGTAGTGTATACTTGGCGTGGCAATCTGTCTATACTGTAAGCGGACAATCACCAAACTCTGTGTTCTGGACTGCCCACACGCGATTCCGGCTCAGCCCATGGCCCTCCATTTGGCCGGATAGCCTGAAGCAGGAGGGTCTTAGGCTGAGTTTCTTGCTATAAGCCCAAATAATAATGCAACTTCTGATAGGCTCAAGCTGGCCGACTACTGCACCTGATGCCCAACTTGCACCACGACTGCAACTAACAGTTACACACAGGCAACGCTTGTACCGTTACCCTACTCATTATGACTCAGTGACCCAGACTACCCACGTGTGGAGCTCTGTCTGGCTACTCCCACAGACACGAACCAGCGGTGCCCTGGGTTGAACATGGCACACGCAAGTGCCCAACTAGTGCATGCACACCTCCATCTTGATTCCTAGATTGAACTAACGTGCTGCCCATGCCGAAATGATAATGTGACCAATGTTACTAAATAGCTAACCTTTTTTCACCAACTGTCGTCAGGTTACATCCACTAGCGCGGTCACCTAAGGCAGGACATGCGCAGCAAACGCAAGGGCCTAGATGACAAACCACATGCCCACGAAATGGGACAGGCCTGTCACAAACCTTTTCAAATCTACAAACATTCAGAGTAAGTGCGCAACACGGACAAAAAACACAGCCAGCTCGTTCCATCCAGAACCCTCCAGCTGCCCACCGCAAATCACTGAGCTGAGCAGACGCAGCTAACTCTCGGAGCCCGGCCAAAGCTCGACACCTCCAGGCAACGGGCGTGGTGCGACATATCGAATTGCACGATTTCACAGCGTGGAACTCCGACCCAGAGCCCTGCTTCGCTCAACTTATATTCGACACGCAACTCCGTCCTATACCACGAGGGCCAAACGAAAAGTCTATAGGATCTGAGACTCTGGCCCACCTCGGACTCGGACGCCTGCAGATGATAATCGGCCTGGTCGTACGGGCCGAATCGCGACACATTAAATGGCTGCAGCTGCCGCCATGTTGACTGTCTCTCAATCACACTAACACCTGCACTGTCGACCACGAGACCGGCTAAGGCATACGAGTGCATGGGCGAGCAATATTCAGTTTAGACCCAGCATATTCAGATTCAATCGACGGAATCCTTTCAACCCAATGAGCAAGCTCTGTGGCTGTGGCCAACCCCGGTCTCTGGCAGACAATCGACCTGAACCCATGCGTTCAATCGCAAGCACTGCCGCCCTGAACCCTGCTCACCACCTAGCATCTGCAAGTTCGACCAAGAACCCCTGTTCATGCACACACACACACACAAAGCAATGTTCCAGACCTCCTTCATTCTTCCAAAATTATCATGCGGCACATCAAGTTGATGATGTCTCGGACCCTGGCCAACCACGGATGCTGCAAGATAGCTGGCCTGAGCGACTTTCAACATCATTCAATCGCCTACTGGCCTGCCTGCGAAACACATGAAGACTTGCTTGAGTCACGAATCTGCTGCAAGGCACGATCTGATGGCTTCCATGCGAGAACTACAGTATAATGCAGCGCAGCTGGCCCGAGTCGATTGAGGTTGACTTCTCGAAGGAGGATTTGGAGCACAATTGACTCAGCCCAAATTCCTCCATTTCCGAAAACAAAAAATCAGGGCTGACTCAGCCCAATATCCCCAACCGCAAAGTAAAAGCTGACTCAGCCTCCTGAGGCCGACTCGGCCTCAAACCCAAAGCCAAATTTAACTAAGACCCCATACTAAACTAAACGTTGACTCAGCGTCCTACAGTCTAATAAATAAATAAGTATATATATATATATAGATAGTTAATTACTAAAATGCTGACTCAACGTCACACGGCTGTCTCAGCCCACAACTCAAGCCCAAGAACCTGAAAGTAAAGCCACGATGTACTTAAATCCCCAGCGCAACGGTGATAAGACCAGGGGCCCTGGCGCAATCCGGGATGCCAGCGCAACGGCCTGGCAGTCAGGACAATCTCCGTCAACAGCAATCAGTCAACCTTCCGTCTCAAACTAGCAGCGGCAGCGTGTTCCCTGAACCCACACTCGTTCTGCCAACGCCATGCGCAAGGCTTTCCCCTACGCATGTCACTCGGCCCTCCAGGCCATGGGCAGCGGCCACGCGGGCCCAAACGATTATTGAAGCACGGCATGCCCCGCAACACTGCACAACCCCAGAGACTTGTTTAAAGGTATAGTAAATCCTAAGTTCCCTGCAGCTGCGGGCCGCCGGTGCTTCGCTGTGCTTGTGCGGTAATCAAAACTCGAAGCGTGTGCTCCGTGGGAAAACACCCGCAATGCAGAATCTTTGTACTTTCTACCCGCAAAGCTAGAACTCTTCTTCGTCTTCCTTGAAGGAATCAAGCATAGCATCGACGTCCTCTGCGCTGCCATCGGCGACGGAGTCCTGAGCCTCTTGCGACGGGTCGACTGAAACCGCACTTGGGGAAGGAAGTGGCGGCCGTTGGGATTCAGAGCCAGACAAGGAGTTCTCACGTGTCAGAAGCCTTTTCCTCATCACAAACCCATCCGCACGGCCTGACATGATCTCGTAGCTGATCCGCATGATGAGAGACTGAAATACAGCCTCTTTGTGACGCTCCGACTCCACAAACATGGTGACGCAAATGTGCTTTCGGCAGCATGCAGTCGCGAGGGATATGGAGGGCTCAATCGAGACAACACGCGGCTGTGTCTTGATCAAAGCATTGGCCGGCTCATACTTGTAAAGATCAACAAGCAGCTGGCTGTGCTGCTCGCTGTTTTCCCACGGTGCGATGGGGAAAGTCTGCTTGGACTTCGCAGCCGCCTCGTCCTCGGCTGCTCCGGCAGCTGTTGCCGGCGGCGGCTGAGGCTCATCCGAGTCCATCAAGGACCTCCCTTCCTCCGTATTTGTTGTCTCAGCACTGTCGTCAGCAGTAACACTGGCCTTCTTCATGAGACATTCATAGACAGCCGGGGCGACCGTCGCAAAGTCATGATCAATTCTGGATTTCATGTCCATGGCTTGCCAACCACGGCTGTAATTGTCGCTGACAACCGTTGGCATGGAGGAGTCCCTGTGCTTCAGGACGAAGTCTTTCGTCACGATGATGAATGCATTCTCAAGAGGGTCTGGAGCTTGCGGATTCAAGCTACTCCTTCTCTTTGGTGCTGCATACCCCCCAACACCAAATTCGCTATTGGTGTAAGCTCGCCGAAGCACCGTCAAGAGACGCTTGGCATGTTGTCCACACTCTTCAGCACAGACACCAAATGCTTCTGCATGGCATCTGAATTGGTTGGGGATCTGCCGTCCATGGCCACGAAGACATCTTTCGATCGGAAGAGAGGAGGGCCCGATGCAGCCCTGAAGTGAGCTCTTATGCTAATCTGTATTATACCTAGAGCATTATCGCCACCCTCAACTTGCGTACACAACTACGAAACTTCACCAACAAACTGTGTCGCTGGAAAGTGTCACTTTCGTGTCCAACCAGAAAGCTGCAAGCCATTGCTTGAATTCGGTCGCATTGAGCGGTGTCGGGCGCCGCCATGGGTTGACCAACAGGTCGTCTTTGATGTGGAGGCGGCACTTGACGTCGTAGATGATGAACAAGGGGGTCCCACCGTTCCGCGAGTACAAGGCTGCCACTTGGTTTCGCTTCCCTTCGGCCGTGGGGCTTTTCACCTCCATCTCCACGAACGTGTTCACCTTCACCCTCGCCCAATCCAGCACCTGCTCGAAGTAGTAGTCATCCCCACCCTGCAGGGTCGAAGCAATGTCCGAGGGGATGTCCAACAGACTGAAGAATTTGAGCCGGTTCATCGGCGCAGGTCCCGATGGGACCTCCTCTTCAGGCACCTCTGCCATGACATGGGGCATTGTCTCCGGTTCGTCAGGGGTTTCCTCAGGAACTGGCGGAGCCGGATCAGGCTTCGCCGGCTCAGGCTCCGGCTTGGGGACTTCAAGCTTGGGCGAAGGCGGCTCCATTGCAGCCTTGCGCTGGTCCAAGATCTCTTTGAAATCGAAAAGCTGTGATTTTTGCCATTCCTGCATCTGGAAAAGCGTCTCTGCCGGGATGAGAGGATCCAAGGCCAAAGCCGCGTCCAGCTTCTTGTCCACTGCATTGCTTCCTCGAAGGAGCTTGGCCGCGAACTGCACAGCATCGACCTGCCAGGATGGAAGCTGTCTCACCCACGGCAACACCATGTAGGTTGTCTCGTGCAACTGGGAGGCACGGAAAGCTACGATGCTGGAAAAGAGTGTGCCGAAGACCTGTGATGGTGCGTAGCCAGGCATGTACGTCTCGTCCGGCAGGTCAATGCCCCGAAGCCTTGCAGTCAAAAGGTTGGTAATCCTCCTTTTGAGAAGAGCCCTTGCAATCGCTTGGGTCACCTGTTCCTTGTTCATCTTCGGATCACAGCGATCATTCAGCATGTCCTGGACAATGAGCCTGAAAGCCGGCTCTCTAAGAGACATGGAATTAACCGCACAACTCTGATTTAATTACTTGGAGAGCCTGACTTGAAAATGGACTACTTTGCACACTGAAGGGCTCCAAGACCCAAAGGAGAAGCGATCGCTGCAGAGGAAGGTTTTTCGGCAGTGCTGTTTTCGCACACAACAGGTCGAAGGACATGAAGTGATTGAAGCAGTGACGATTACCAAACTTTTCATCCAATTGTCCGATCAACAGCTCTGCACCAGGAACCTCGCTGATTCTGTCGAAAACACGGAGAGAATTCTTGATCTTCGTGGCCTTCAAGCCCAATCTCTTCCCGAACCTGATGGAGCAAACATACCAAGTATGTTGAGACTGGAGTTATTCGTCTGTACAGGGGCATTGCAGCACATACACACACATACACGCATACACGCATACATCCATACATACATACATACATACATACATACATACATACATACATACATAGATACATAGATACATAGATACATACGTACATACTACATACATGCATACATACATACATGCATACATACACACATACATACATTCGCACGTAAGTACATACATGGGTACATACGTACACACACATACATAAAGGTCCATACATACAGATATGTACTTAAGTACATACATGCATGCGTACATATACACTAGACATACACATACACACACGCACACACACACACGCATGCTCACACACACATACGCACACATGCATGCATACATACATACATATATACACACATACATACATATATACTTAGTATTATCTCTGTTATGTATTAAAATCATGATCGAGGCTTTCAGTCCGACAGATCACGCAAAACAGGTCACAAACCGAAATCAAGTGACCACTTCTCCATATCCTGATCACTGCTTCCCTTGCCCTGCTGCTTCAAGAAGTCCCTCACGTACGCCAGTGCCTTCATCTGGCGAAAACCCTGCAACACCAAAACATCCACTTCATCCTTGATCTCTTGAGCAAGCTCGAACTTCTTGTGCTCAGTCTCGTCATCTGTGGCCAGATCCACGAACTTGACCTGAAACGGCCATGATCACAGCTTGGAAAAACCGACCCCCAACATCTGCGAGTACCGCTGCTTGCGGACCGGATGCTCGGATGCAGCGGGCCTGATGCACGAAGCCTTTCAAGGTCTCGGCATCCTGCTGTCCGTTGTTCACAGCTTCTTTCGCGTGAAACCAAGCAAAAATGAAAGCGGTTCGATCGGGATCGCGGTGGAGAGGCGTCAAATTGGTGAGGTCGGGCAGCGACTTGGAGCCGCGCACTGAGATCACTTCAAGAGCACCACCCGCCGACCACAGGTGTTTGCCGTTCTCATCCGTGGTGCGGTAGCGGTTTTCGGCAAGGGTGCGAACAGCTCCTGACCCGGGACATGACAACCTGTTTAAGCTGAAGCTCAAGCTTACACTGATTATGATGTCATGTGGACGGTCCTAAGGCAGGTGGTATAGTCGCATGAGCGAACCGGAGAGGGTCGAAGCTACGGATGGTCACGTTGCATTCGTATGAGGAACTCTTCTTCATCCACCGAAGGTATTCATCAGCATCAAACGCCTGCACTCCGGCAGCCGCTATTGGATCCAGGCCGGCCACTTCCTGCTGGGTGGAAATGGAACCCCTGTCACGTGAAGTCGCAACCGTCAGTTGTCACTGCATCAATGCAGTGCGAAAATCGCAGTGATCTAAATTTAATGTCCCGTCCTTGAACTCGTCGGCGAGGAAGTTGATGGCTGATTGTACAAACTTCACACAAGGATGATTCCGGAGTTCGTCCGACAGCTTGCTTTGCTTGCCACTCACACGACCCTGTGGGTCTGCAGCTGCCCGCTTGCTCATTCTGAACACCCCGGGAGCAGTCGGCCCAACTCTGAAAAATAAGCTGTATAGTGTTTTGAGCCACAGAGTTGACAGATGTCTTTCAACTCTGGGGGGCCACGGTTTGGCCAAAAGACGACAGACATCAGTCAACTCTGGGGGCGGAAACTCTGTGGCAGAACCGGGCATATACCAATGAATCCGAAACCCACTCGCCCCAGAGTTCAAAGACATCTGTCAACTCTGTGGCAGGATTTGCCCACAATCCGAAAACCCAGAGTTCAAGGATGGCACACATGGCAAATCTGAGCCGCTATTTAAGGTACTATTACGACAGACCTAACCTACGCCTGCAGAAGAAGAGATTGCATTCTTGAATTCGTGAACCTCCCAGCCCGACACACAGGTCACACGCGCACAGCGGGGTGCACCGTCTCGTAGGGTAGTGCGACCAGGCGTCTGCACAGCGGTTGAGAACAACCAGCACATATCTTGAAATGTGTGGCAACTGTGCAATTGCAACCACTGGCATGTTCGATCTGCGTTGAAACTACCCTGAGCAGTGCCTTGCCCACGGCAAAGAGGCAATCGGTAGACCTGGCCGCTGCAAACTTTAAGGCTGGCAATAAAACCGCTCACGATCAAAGACGGCACACAAAGGAAGCAGTTGCTTTGTTTCTGAGTCTGTACTTGCCAATCCTGAAAGCATTGTGAAACAGACATTGTCCGCTGCAATGGCAGATCAATGCTTATGCCCCCACCCCAAGAAAAAAGCAGATCAATGCTTATGCCCCCAACTCAAGAAAAAAACTCGGACAGCAACTGTGGAAATGCTCTGTCCATCTCCCTGGTGGCATATCTGGCCACACATGCCACGCATCAGCAAGCTCACACCAGTCTGAGAACTGGTCGTTTACGGGTCGCGGACAGCCTCTCCACTTCTTCCCCCAAGCGATCAATGAGGGCTTTCCTTAGGACTTACTCGTTAAGACATTCAATTGAGATCTGGAGCCTTGGCCACAACCGTCTAAAATTCAGCAATGAGTCTGGAGAGCATTTTTCTGATTGAGCTCAGCATTCACCGCCTCCACGCCACGAAGTGCATCGATCTTGGCCCTTGAAGTATCGTGCGAATGAGGCTGAAAAGAGACTGCCCTCTATCACTCGAAATTGGAAAGCATCATTGGCATGCCGCCGAGCAACTCGAGCTCGCGAACTTTCTCTTCCCTTACATCACACACAGGCAGACACACGCGCGCACACGCACTCACACCATGTGCGAGCAAGTATGTAGGAGTAAAACAGCAGCTGTATGCCACATTTCACTACCACATGGCCCCGCTATGCCAAAGTGCAGCAAAGAATCAAGCTTGTTATCATGGCACCATCTTTCCTACACAGCAATCGGACAGGAAGACATTGTCTCCTAATTACACAGCAGCCGCAACATTATGCAATGCACGTACACAGAGTCTCCTGGATCGATGCTTGTTCTTTCGATTGTTCTCATACTCCCTCTGTTTGAGTTTCTTCAGAGTTTTGGCCGCTTCGGCTTCCACATCCACAGAAACCACTGCATCAGGGTGACCTCGAAGCTCACATTTCACTTTCAAGAGCCCCGGCTCTTTCTTGACAGGAACCAGTGCCATGGCTGCAGTACCAGAGGCTATCAAGATTCTTACAAGTTCAGATTGCCAGCGATGAACAAAACTAACTTTCAATTCAGCAACTCGCTTGCAAGCAGCTGTCGTGGCTGCAGTCACGATGGAATTACGAATCGGAATCAGTCAGACGATCATCGCAGAAGCTGGTGCAGGACATGTTCAATTATGAGCGAGGGGCGCACCTCACGGCCTGGCAAGGGACGCACCGCCTCAGAACCAGAGACAGGAAGCAACAAATCATAGAAGTGAGCATGCAGTCCTGTCGTGCAGGCCACCACAGTTCAGACAGACTTCACAATAATTGCAATGACAGCTTCGCACACACTGCAAGCGTTCAGCCGCACGAAGGGAGGAGACCGCTTGAAAGACATGTTTCAACCAAGGGCACAACACCATCCAGCTGGACAGCCGAAAGATCGACCTTGGAACTGGGACACAACATGCACAACTTAACAGCCACTACTAAGACTGCAAGTGCTCTCCCATTGCCAGCAAATGACTCTGATTCCTGCCCTGCTTGCTGCAGATCGCCACATTTTGCATGGCCCTCACGACGAAGCTACACGGCAAGCGGCCTACTCGATGCACACGTGCAGAAGCAAAGCATGGACCATGAGCCTTGATGGTTCACTTTGATTCTGATAGCATTGCACGTGTTACGACTCGTAGCAGGAGGCATACATTCGAAAGAGGCCAGCTAAATCAATCGTCTGGACTTCGACTTCATTGCCTTTCATGTCCAGCCGCTGGCATTCTTCTGAAACTTCTGTGGACAAGCCAAGATGAAATGTGTTAGCAGGGAATTTCAGCCGCTCATCCGCACCCGGCAGTCCAAGACGAACGTCCAGGCGAGGATTCTTATCCTTGCCAATGGACGGGGCACGAGCCGCACAAGCGTGCAGCACTCGGACATGTTTCGGATATGCATCGCGGAAAGACTGACTCATGTAGATCACAGAATGGCATAGCTCCATTCCAGGGCGGAAGCGCAAAACTCGCCCAGTCTTATCAGCAAGTCGTGCTCCATCCAAGCGGGCTTGTAGGGCTGCCGCGCTGTCGTAGTCTCCAAGAACTGAACCAACCAACACCATATCAGCACGCACACCAAGCCTCGGAACCCGCTCGAACGAAGTATCGACAGGCCAAGGCTTGTCCCGTCGGGCCTGGACAGCAAGCAGCACCTGGTCTGACTCAGAAAGCAGCTTGAACTTCCTGGGTAAGGGAGGGCACGTCTTCGCCGCTGGCAAAGTCACAGGCTTGGCCCGCATCAATCCGCCCTTGGAATCAACGAAGGGGGTTGGTCCAGTGCGTGCAGACATCGCTTGAGTTTGCCGTCGCTTTTGGGCCACCGCCTGTTGCTGCTCAATCGCTTTGTCAGCGGTGCTCCAGTCGATACCCATCTGCTCGTCCAGGGTTGTACCTGATTGCAGCATAATCTGGATTTTGATGTTATCTGGGTGGGACTATTTTTTTGAAACCTGGGACTGGGACTGGAACGACCAACTTCAGATTGCCAAATGCGGACTTGGGTGCGTGTTGTACCGCTGCTGCCAGTTGCGTCACCAGAGGGCTCTGGAGGTCTCCCGTGACCGGATGCATTAGCAGCAGTCTGCTTCTGATTGGACCGGGCATTTGCAGAAGCACTTTGTTTCTGCTTCTTCTCCTGCTGCACTTCCCAGGTCTCGTCAGCAGCTTCGCTCATGAGCCGTTTTCTGTTGCCATCCGCCAGATTGCATGGGGTTGACAACGCGATTGCCCAGCACCCCCTCAGCGTGAGAATCCACAGTTGACAAGGCAGCAACAGCAGCCTTGCACGCACCAGCATGCGATTCGAGCCACGCCGTCTCTGAATTTTGGCTTCGCTGCCGTGTGCTCTCCAAGCGGGGCTTGGCAGCCTTTGCGCGGGCCAACACCTGTTCTGAGAAAGATGCTGGGCGAACATCGCGAGCCTTGCTCGCCTTCTCGCCAAACCAGGTCGCGTAAGTGCGCTGCGCTCTTAAAAGGAACGGTGTGGGCGGAAAGAGAACCGGCGCCCCTCCTCCAGATGCTCGGGCGGCAGCGGGCTTGCAGAGCAGAGCGTTCGGGCTCAGGCGATCACGACGTCTTCCTTTCAAATCCTGGACCACAAGTTTCAAAGAAGCCGCGATGGAGCGGACATGCAGCGTAGAACGGCCAGCCAGCAATGACCTTTTCTCCCCAATCCACCGTTCGACGACGCCGGTCCCAGCAAGGGAGCTGAGATATATCTCTATGAAACGCTTGGCGTCCAAATGCTGTGACTTCCCACCTTGTCCTAAGCTCTTCGCAGTGACGTATGAAGAATGAGTACCCCACTCATTCTTAAAACGAAAATTGGCGACTGGGCTAGACTTACAAGTTCTGATTCATACCACTCGCATCCGAAACTCGCTCTGCTGCATGCAAGTCCTGCCAGGTCCGCAGCCACGCCCGCTGATGCATGGACTCAGGCAAGTGGCACTTGGCCTGGGTCTCGGCGGCAGCAGCGGCTGCAATTCCAGCGGGTGACGCCCAGTACTGCGCACGATGCAAAAGTCCGTTCTCATTCCCACGGGGCCCAACGAATGACCGCCACGCTTTCTGACCGTCAAGCTGAAAAAATTCACACCCCGCTCTGACGAAAGCCTCACGTTCCCCCAAGGAGAGGTTGGCAGTGAGATTGAAGCATGTGAAGCTGTTCGCCTCCTCCCAAGATAGCCAAGATAAAATCCGATTAACCAGAAATACTCAACGCCCAGTACAAAAAAGTTGATTTACAGAGTATACTACTTCTGACCCGGGGTGTGCCTCGAAGCCAGGAAAGTGGCTCTTGAAGAACGCTTCCCAAACATAGTAGAACCTCGTCTAGATTAACCCGTTATGCACTGACTTCCAGTGAAGTGAGACTCGTAAGACATCAACAGTTGAAAGCGAAACCTGCTGTGCAAGTCCAGTAGCTTGTGGGCCAACCTCTGAGGCTCGAGTCGTGCTTCAGAGTCCGGCGCAGGCCAGCGCACGACCACAACAGCGCTTCGATCCGTCTTCTGATCCGTGAAAAGAACTCGCTGCTTGACCGCGCCCAAGACAGAGTGTACCAAGGTGCCCTTAGCTGCTGGGAGCCAAATTGCCCCCTCCAGCAGCATGGATCGCAACAGCGACAAGCACTCTGCAGCCTGAACACCAGTAAGCGAGTAATCAGCCTCGCTTTTGTCGGCCAATTTCAGGAACGGCCAACTCATTACGAGTGCGTCCGCGATCAGGGCCGACCCCACCAAGCGAATGTAGCCCTTGTCACCGCCCCAATCTTGCAACAGATTTCGGCACCACACAACATCAGCATCTGTAAACGATGTGCCGCCTTCGGTCACCCTTTGAAGGCATTCCATCAGGATGGGTAACATCGTAAACAAACGCACCGGGGGCCGTTTCCGGCTGTCGAAGCGATGATCTGCAAAGGAAAACCCTTTCAGGAACCGGCAGAAAGATGCCCCATCTTCCCGATCTGCCATGTCCTTCTGGCACTCCAGAAAGAGCTGCGAGAATTTCGCCGATTTCTCGAGCAATCGTGCGAGGCTCCGCTCTCCATGCACTAGCTTTTCCAAGGTTTCCTGGAACAGAGTTGGCAGCTTCGATATAACGAGCTTGTCGATTGATCTGTATCTGTGAGCCGCATCTCGCACGATCAAGCGAAGGTGGGGCAACAAAGGCACGTACCCTGGCTCCTGTCGCAACTCAGGTCCAGCGGCTGAAGATTCAAAAAGGCAGCGTTGCTCAGTCGGCCCGCCATCTGCCACTGCAGTAAAAATATGATCGCAGAGATGATTGTAAAGACCAGCGTCGAAACGGTCGGATGGAGAATTGAACATGTCGTCGGCTGGCCGTCTGCAGCGGGCTGGGATAATGCAAACCTGCTTCAAAAGCAACTGCAGCGCCTCCAACATCCCTCTGCTGCTATCCTGGACCATATCTGGCGTCACAACACCCAGCAGCATCTCATAAAGACCCGTCGGACCGACCAAGCGGCCGTAAACGACCAAATGGTCGCCCCCTTTGTCCATGGCTATACCGATAGCCCTGCATTGCCTGATCCGAGCGATGTCCACCTCACGGATCCCATCTTCCAGGCACAGTATCATTTTTCGAGTAACAGTTTTGCTACTGTCTGCCGTGCCTGCAGGGATGAGCCTGGTCCCGATTTCCGAGGACTCCACCCGTTTAGGCTGCTGCTCGTAACCGACACGCGAGCACAACAACCCGACGGCTTGAATCCAGCGATCCATACGGGGAACGTCAGCAGCAATGGTGGAGGTAACCCCACCGTCTTCTGCTTCTGCCAGGTTTTCTGATGATGGCGCAGCCACTGGATCTGACCCACCCAGGAGTCTCTCTAAACAAGCTGCATGTTTCTTGCCGCTTCCATGCTGCATGATATTCTGGAAACCCACATGGTCGGAGCCCTTCAAGCTTATCTCGAACCCTCCCCAGGAAGTATTTGCATTCTGTACATGACAAATGTAGCAACCGATCTTGAACGTTGGTGACTTCAGCGCCACCAACCACGTGAAGACTGATCCGTTCATGTTGAAAGTACATTTGTACTTCCAGCCCAACTCACGATTTTCGGATTTCAAAGAGGCACATCCCCTGCGGAGCCGACCAAGGTAGCCTGATCACATGGAATCCCCGAGAGTGAATCTTAATCGGAATCGGAATGTGAGGCCTAATAATAATGGGTCATCAAACTTGAGGGTCTATGGCTCCGTAGGTTGCTCATACAGCGGGAGTATTGGCTTAAGGCTTAGAAAACTTAATCAACCCAGGCCTGCCGCGAAGTGACAATAAGCACACTTGCTGAAACCCAAATCGCAGGAGTCAAGGTGCTCTCGCAAATCCAGCAGTTTGGCGCGATGAGCTGTCGGGATGCTGGTCAGCACTGGTGCCTCCAAAACCTCTGCCCTTCTTGCACGAGCAGGCTCAGGCTCACCCATGGAACAGCTGACTATTGCAATCGCTTTACTACCACGTCACACCATTCTATTCTAACCTTGATAACTCTTAGTGTCAGACCTCCCAATTTCGAGAGATGCTCCTAACAGTTCAATGTCGCAAGACCTGCATTTCAACTCAAATTCGATATCAAGGACTTGCGCTCGAACAATCAGTCAGAGATAACGAATTGCACAGGAGCTTGCGAACTTACCGAACGCAGCAGGCAGAACTGAGCAGAGACTGAGAACCTCGCACCAGCCAAATCATCGTGGCAGACCAGCGACCGGATCTGGGATGATCAGGCAGCCAACAAACCGAAAGGAAGAGGTAAGGGTTGAATCAGCCCATGGCCCATGATATCCTTAAACACGAAACCAACACTACTACTAAGTGACTCGGTCTCAGTCCAACCCGTTCAACCAAAACACAACGTGCTGTTGGGACTGACTCAGCCCCCTAGCTACTTATTGCTCCCCCACGCTAGCCTTTGGGCTGACTCAGCCGTTCTGTAGGCCCAACCGGTACTTCAAGCTCTAGGGCTGACTCAGCGGTTCTGTACGCCCAACCCACAATTGAGACTAACACAAAGGAGCTGACTCAGCCCCGCGCCACAAAAAGGACCTGACTCAGTGACCCACCACAACAAACTGCTTATCAGCCGTCAAAAGCACTCAGTCCGTGATGCGGTGAAGTGAAGTGGAATGACTTTTGGGGGACAGAGGGTTTGGGTGGGCCGGGCGGGGGAGGGTGTGCCCAGATCCGGGTGCTGAGCCTGGATCTCGGATGGGGTGGGATTGGTGTGTGGGTCTCTCTGGTGGGGCCAGGTCTGGGGCCCCGCAACCGGGTCCCGGAACCGGGCCCCGGTACCGGGCCATTAGAACAGGGCCCGAAACCGGATCCCAACCAGACCCCAAACCGAACCCAGGAACCGGGGAAGGCTGGGATGGCAAAGTGAAGTGGTGGGGATTGGGGAAGGTGTCAACGAAAGAAAGCTGAGTCAGGATCTGGATCCGGGCCCCGGGACGGGGCCCGGATCCGGGGCCCGTTTCCGGGGCCCGGTTCCGGGACCCGGTTCCGGGACCCGTTTCCAGAATGCACCGCACCGCCCGCTTAATCTCACACATTCCTGAAACCACTTGTGTTTCACCCTTCCACGCCCGCAAAGCGGTACCCGCCACCGGGGCCCGCAAGCGGGACCCGCAACTGGGACCCGCAACCGGGACCCGCAACCGGGACCCGCAACCGGGACCCTAAACAAATAGAACCGGCAAGTGTGCCCCAAAATCACAACGGCGCAACAGCACCAAATTAACACAAAGCCTGAGTGAAGAAACAGACGAGAGCGACTTGATGATGGAGCAACCGGGGCCCGGATTTGGGGCCCGGCTCCGGACCCCGTCGGGAACAGTTTGAGGTTTAGTTGATGATTCGGGTTGGTTTATTGGTGTCGGTGGTGGGTTGCCGACACCAACAAAGAAGAACTATAATCGAATTGGGCTTGGGTTGTTTTCGTGAAGGGGCTGGCCAAGATGCCGAATCACGTCAACCATAAGCGTTATCTTTCATAGGGCAGTGGGGTCGCGAGTGCAGTGGGTGTTCTGTGGTGGTATGGGAACAACCAGAACCTTAGCAGTGGCTACACTCGCAATTAAAGCAGTCGCAAAAAATAGTATTTGGCAACTCGCAGCTAAGCTAGCAGTATCAATCACCACTCAATCACCACCCAAATCAGGGTCCAATTGAAAACTAAACCTCGACCACTAACAGACAAACCCCAGCAACACCCATCTGCTCTGTCTGGGGCACCTGGCCTTTCTGATGAGGCGCCCGCGGACCCGAATGATGCGACCTCGAATAGCACAGAAGCGAACTGAACGATACACCAACGTGCACGATCACATGCCGCATGTGTGCAATGTTTTGTGATGCTACCCTGCAGCTCACAGCACACTGTTCACTGACATGACACAGACTGGCTTGCAAGCGCGGAATACGTCATCCTACAAACCAAGTCCGAAGTCCAAAATGCGAGCCCATCTCGGGCTCCCGGCTGCGACACCGCAAATGCCTGGCAGCAGAGCATGTCATTTTCATGAACAGCCAAAGTCCATGGCTAGAGGGCAAACGCATGTCACGAGAAGATATCTAGACTCTAGACATGTTGCTATGCCGTTATGCAATGCAGACCTGTCGGAAACATTGAATACCGGACTTTTCCACTCTCTCACTCGGAATCGGAGTTCAGCAGATCTTCGAGAACGACGGCACTCTCCTGACGACGAGCCCTTCGAGCAGCCTGTTGAGCTCTCCGCTCTGCCGCCTCCTCAGATCTGCGCCGCTTCTTGGCCTCCAGCGTAGCACGGCGCTTCTCCAATGCAGCAGCGTTCTTGGCCTGCTTCTCCGCCGCCTTCTTCGCCTCCGCTTTCCGATGCAAAGACTCCACAGCTTCAGCGCCCACTCTGGCTCCCAGCTCGAAGGCAAACTTGACACGCTGAGCAAGAGTCTTCGACTTAGCCTTCGGATCAGGCCTGGAACCAGATGGCTTCTTCCCGCTGCTCTCGCTGCTGCTGCTACTGCTGCTGCTGTCGCTGTGCTTATTGCCTTCAGCAGAGTCATCCAATGGCACCTCCGCAGCAGCAGGTCCAGGAATCTCAGGCTCGGCAGCAGGTTCAGGAACGCCAGGCTCAGCAGCAATAACGTGGACCGGTTCCATTAAATGGTCGCCTGCGTCGGCCGGTCCATTATCGTCTCGCGCAGCCGGATCCATCAAATGAGCGTCGTCTCGCGCAGCCGGATCCATCAAAGGAGCGTCGCCACGCGCAGCCGGATCCATCAAAGGAGCGTCACGCCCAGCCGGGTCCATTAAAAGATTGTCGCGCTCAGCAGCCTCAGCAGGATCCACCCGTGGCGGCACGACAACAGCTGCTCCAGGAGCCCGCGGCCGCGGTGGCACAACACCAGGAAGGGCAGGTCGCGGCTGCACCAGTACCTCATTCCGAAGCGCAGGCACATCAATTTAATAATGTTAAACCCAGCACAAACCTAAGAGGACAACCCTAACAAAAAAAGCAAGGCAAAGTCAGCCCAGTAGCGGCTGGAGCTTTCGCCTTCGCCGCTTGTTTGGCAGCAGCATACTCCAACATGCGCAGGCGATTCTTCTCGGCCTTCGTCATATAGCCGGCCATTGAGTGAAACTTCCGAGTGAGAGAGTGAGAGTGAGACTGAGATTGAAGAGAGTGACAGTGAGTGAGTGAGTGCCAGACAGTGAGTGAGTTAGTGAGTGAGTGTGCGTGGGCGGGTCGGCCGATGGGTGAGTGATTAATTGTGTGATTAATTGTGTGTCACAATCAGTCTGAACCATCAATAGTGCCCGAGCTGCAGCGCGAAACCTCATCTGAAGCCCGAATGCCACAATTTAATCCCCGCTAAACCACAAAACCTCAAACCTTCCCTCAATTCAACTCCCTGTACCGAATCATCCCTTAACTCCCTGGACTCGGGCGACACCGATCTGGGTAGGGAAAATCGGGAAACCCAACCACTAACCCGACCCTCCCTGAACTCCCATCGGGAAACCCTAAACCCTTTAAACCCGTGCAAGCCCCCAAGCCTCCAGACTCGGAGGGGAAGCCAGCATCGAAGCCATTGCCCGTCCTGCCTCGGCAGCAGAGGGGGCTTAGGGAGTCCAAGTATTGGAGGTTTAGGGGTTTAGGGTTTTGGGGGCTTATGGTTTTCGGAGTTTAGGACATTTTTAGGTGCACCACAAGAAAGCCAAACAACCCTAAGTCGCAAACCCCGAATTTCCAAATACAAACCCCAAGAGCACAAACCCCAAAATATCCGATAAATGCGTCGCCCACCCTCCCCGTCCAAAAACCGGTACCAACTAAACTAAACCTAGTCCCAAACCTTTAATTCAATCGCTTAAAGACCCCCGTTAGGGCTGACTCAGCCCAAAACCACAAACTTAAGTTATGAAAAAAAAGGACTGACTCAGTCCACGGCAAATCTAGGGCTGACTCAGCCCAAACCCTGAGTCACCTTTCCTACGCCTAGGGCTGACTCAGCCCGAGAAACCCCAAGGAGGGCTGACTCAGCCCCAAACCCTGAGCCAAGCAAAGGGCTGACTCAGCCCACAACCCGTAGAAAGGCTACCAGGGTTGACTCAACCCGCCACACCCCTACCCCAAACCCAAATGGGTTGACTCAACCCACAACCGCAATAATCCATATTTCTAACTGACTAACCCTCCTAGCCTAAACCCCTAAACCCTTAGAACCCTCTGGGCAG